TGTCATCAAATATAGGGAAAAGAAAAGGTGATCGGTTATGCAACAAAAATAAAGATGAAGTGAACACTATACTGTAGGAAAAATATATGAATAAATTTCTAAAAAAAGATTGCGAAAGGTATACAGAGAGATGAAAAATAAAGATAAATATATGGAAAGAAATAATGAGAAATTTTTTTGTGAGTAGGAGAGTTTAATGATATGATATGAGCAAAAATATTTAGAGAGAGATTATTATGAAAATTTTTTTAAAAAAACTTATAAAATACAAAAAAAAAAGTCTCAAAAAAAAAACAGAAAAGATGGACAATAACTTACATTGGATAATTTCAAATATTTAAATTATTCCAAATATACTTAAAATAACAAAACACATTGACATCAAAAATTACTCAACGACAATTTTCACGATTAATGTTTTCTTTTACTTATATTACTCTATCGGAAATGTCATATAATCGTTAAATCATTAATCTCATATATATATTGAATAATCCGCACAACGTGCAGGGTTAAAATTAGTATATATTAAAAGAGATCTTTCGATCTGCAAGTGTTGCTCAATTAGATAATTCAAAGCTTTCTTTACAAGGTGTCAAGTTCATAGTATTTTTTTACAAGTGTCAATGCGAAAGACCCGCTTTCATTAAAGTCTTAAAATTTCTTCTAAATTAATTATTTCAATTTACTTTTCGCCAGCACATTTCGCCCATTTTATTACATTCCATATATATTTGATTATATACTTAATTAATAATGAAAAACTCACCTTTTTCATTGATAATTATTTTCAACTTATTTTTATTGCTTGCTAATTATGATTTTTCACTCATTTTTAAGTAAAGTTCACTGTGATCGAAAACCATCAAGTATGTATAAAATGTCATATTTTTCAAGGATATCTAACAAAAAAAATATTACTAAAGAGATGTTGTATAAAATACTATATATTTTTATATTTCTTTTTTCCTTTTGAGTTTGCTAAAACTTTCTTTTTGAGTTGACTAACTTTATTCGTAAAAATTTACGAAATTACAATACAAAGTAATTATCAATTTATCGATTATTACTTCTAAATTTTTTTTATGAAGAGTCATATTAATATTTTATCTTTAAAAAATATATACTATCTTTAGTATGAAATATAAAAAAAAAATTAATGTAATTTACACAATAAAACACAAATAAGAATTATTAGATCACAACCAACACAAACTTTATCATGCGTGATAATCCTTAACTCACATGTGATCACAATTTTATAATTTTATGCAATATACATGTAATACAATCCGTGTAACACAGGGGGATAATTCAAGTTACTTTGATAAAATAGTGTTAAATGAATGAAAGAAATAAAAAATTATCTCATTCCCTTGTCCCACATCGGAAATGGTAACCCAATTAACTTCACCAACATATGTACCCCATGTGTTACTCCCCTCATTGCCAATTAGTTTTGAGTTCAAACCACACGTGGGCTTATATGGATTTTCAAAATGGTATCTGAGAGGGTTTTAATTCGCGGATCGATAGGACTTGTAGGGTGAGGTTGATTGACGACTTTTTGACTTGCCTAGATTCGGGCTTTGTTTTTGAAACTTTGACCAACAAAAAATTCGGGGTTTGATTTTGAACTTTGACTGGCCCGGTAAACAACAGTTTATCCGGAAAAAATATCTGATCGCAAGACTGAAAAATTAAACAAAAAAAACATATATAAAAAATTTCCCGTCCAAATTCATTGGGTTTGAGAAGGGCGTTTTAAATGAATGAAAGAAATTAAAAATGGCCTCATTCCCTTGTCCCACATTCCAAATGATTGTGAGGTTATATGGGCCTTCAAGAAATTGCTAAGGAAAGAAGGAGAAAAAAACAAGAGTAACAGTACAATAAGTTAGAAAAATTGGAAGCGCGTGGTTTTGATGGTTCAGCTAATTCATCCTTTAAATTGTTAAAGGAAAATGCATCTTGCATTCTATATTTTCTTTTTCTTTCTATTTTCGTAATAGTACAATAAGTTAGACTATCTGATCGCTCCTACACAACTACTACAGAGTAAGATTCTTGCGGAGAGCACACGTCAGTGTATCGAATAAATTTGTTCATCCATATACATCCCAACTAATTAAGTTTTATTCTGCAACGGAAAGAATTATATATGTTGTCATCTTCACCAATTTTTATTTTTCCATTAATGGATGTTCCAAAATGAAAGTAACAATATACATTCTGCATTACTATTGCTAACTCAGATCAATGGTCTCCCTCTAACCACTCTCAGATCTTTTACTGACCGCCAGCTTTTTCTCCTTTTCCCTATCTTTTTGTGTGTGTACACATATGTGTTACACATTGGTTTCGGGATAAATTTATGTTTTTAGTACACAAGATAACCTTTTTTTTTTTCCGATAAACAAGCTAATTTCACTGCCAAGTAAAAGAACTTATTGTACATCACTTTCGCGCTAGCTAGCCCAAGACAACACAAGGTAAAAATTTTTTGACTTGAACTGTTTTCTTTATAACAAGGATGGGCGTCTCCCCTAATTAATTAGTGTCAATACAAAAATGCACATTACAGTTTATGTAGTCTACAATAAAATAAATTGACTACTTTACCATTACTCTAGTATCCAGTCTAAACAACCCTTTCTTTGTTGTGTTGCTGAAAACATCAAATCTTTTTTAGACTAAAGAAAAAATGAATATGTCAAAGTGCTATCAATTCTATCAGTTACTTTCTCACATAAGGAAAACTTCTGTATTCTAATGCTACAAGTCCTAAAACATGTATGTTTTCGGTGAGTTTGGATACATGTACATCGATAATTAGTTAGCGTATGAACGTAGGAAAATTAAGAACTTTATAATATTGCATATTTTATACAAAAAAAAATCAACAACCACCAACTTGTACATGAAAGTGAAAGTTTCCATATTCTTAAAGCCAGGACTTCGGGCCGTTGGGCCATCAGGACTTCCATTAATAAGGTTATATAATCAAGACGTTCATTATTCTACAACATCAGTTGTATAATCAAATGCGGAAAACGAGCAATTCTTTTTAATCAAATGAGGAAAACGAACAATTCTTCATAATTCACACTCCTCCTTCTATCAATAAGGTTCAATTTTACACTAAAAGTAAATGTGTCTTTTATGAATGCGACTAGAGTGTGTAACTTTTATGAGTTCCAAGTACATGAATCTTATGATCACGAGACTTGCAAAATCGACCAAAGTTCTGTTTGGTTGCAAATAATCGGTAGAATACGAATAACTAAAAAATTTAAATCGAGAAGTTAATTCAATCTTAAATTCTTTGTTTGAGAGATCTATCAAATTAATAAAGAATTGTTTTTTAATTTCAAAAGTTGTACTTGGAATCTTGAGAAGTGATGCATTCGAGTTTGTCATTGTATAGCTAACACAAATTTTACCTTATTTTCAAAAGAATATAAAATTTTTCATTTAATCTGTTACAAGAATTTTATAGCTTATTATGCAAATATACATAACAGAAGAAGTTGTTGATTGAAGCTAGGGAGCTAATTCGTGATCATACTGAAAATCGGCAAGTTGGATTTGATATGAACGTTGGAATATGCTCTACTCTGGGCGCTAAGTTGTGGGCATTTTCGCAGGGCTTACAGTTGGTGTGAAGTTGCGATAAGGAGTGAAGTAGTCCAAATTCGAGGTAGAAGATTTAAAGGCAATGGTCGTTAATTTTGGAGGCGACGGTTGTGGATAATGGCGGAGATTTGCAGTATAGTGGTTACGCTGGAGTTTGGGAAGAACTAGCAAAGAAATGGAAAAATATTGGGATAGTTGGCTAGTTATATGTGTTTTTTCATAGATCGTGTGAATAAGGAAGGTATTTATGTACTGTTAATAAGAATTTTAGAGTTGTTAAAAAAAATTAAAAAAATAAGAATTTTAGAGCTTGTACCCGAAAAAAAAAAAAAAAGTAAGAGTTTTGGAGCCAATCGAGACGCGACTAGCAACTCCAAAGATTTTTATATATTCACTATAATTATAAACGAACAATTCACTGGGTTACGATCCACGGAGTTTTTAAAATCCCTAATATTTACATTGTAATTATTAAAGAACTCAACCAATTTAAGATCACTAGCTAACTTGATGCCAAATCTCCTTTTTATTCCAAACATGAAACTGAAATTATTCCAATATAAATTAAAAACTGATGTAGTACGAAAAAAAAGGGGGGAGAGGGGGAGAATATCAACTTAACCATGTAATTTTGTTAGTAATAAATTGTTATGGAAAGGTGGAATAAGATATTATATCACATTTTTTTTTGGCCTGATTCTAAGCAAAATGGTCCAGTGCAGTGCATAGGAATGTTAGGAAAAGAGAAATGTATACGTCTACATGTATTTAAAGCAGTAGCCGCATGTTCAACGCGAACATCAAAGGTTGAACATTAGAGGCTACTCTCTTTCCATCAAAAAGGAGACAAAAAAAAAAAAAAGGATTATCCTCTCATCAATGGGATAGAGGTAGTGCAATTTAACCGATTCCAAATGAATAAACCTTGTGATGAAGCGCATGGATTTATATCCTCGTATTATGCGTAAGTCACAATTGACGAAGTGAAATATCCGTAATAACTGAAGCTTCAAATGACAATTTTGATGATAACGAAATCGAGATAAATGAGGTCCGTCAACTTAACATCCACATTAATGTGGACAAATGAACCCACAGTTCCTTTCAGGGTCACAAGGTCAAGGGTGTTAAGTTAAAAGTCGTTGGAACTTGAAATTAAATGAGTGAACAACACTAACAAATTTAAGTCATGGAGTAATATATAACTACTATGTACTATTTTTCTCGGAGACAATTAGTTTTGAGGTGAAATCACATCTGCATGTATATAGTTACAGATGTTTATTGCGAGATCATGTGTGATTCCCAGGAATTACTTGGTAGGGATAGGAAGGGGATATAAATCATTGCCTCATGCACTGTGCTCAAAAGAAAAAAGAGTAGTGATTTTTTTTGCTGTTTTCATTTTACTAACGTAGTTATAACACAAGTTGTTCGATAATTTTTACCTACAGAATGTTATATTTTCAGATAAGGTTATATTCGGTCTTGCCTGCTTCATTATGATGAAAAAAAGAAAAACCTTATAACCGAATTTTTCATGAAACGTAATAGCATACACAATGAGCATTTTCATTATCTTAATTATAAAGAGAAACTGGAACAGCTCCAAATCCTTCAGAGAATCCGTTCAACCATTGTCCATTGAAGCAATTCGGTGGCTGATTCTTCTAGTTACGAGCGGCGGGAATGTGACCGGTGGCATGACTGTTTGCGTTTACGGATGCGACATTACCTTTTCCAGAAACAGCAACACCGCGGTCAGTTGAGCTCACAGTGGCACTAATTCCTCCAGATGCATTTCCCGGTGCTTCAGCCGGACCACCCGCATTTCCGCTAATGGAGACACCACTATTCCCACGACCACCGTCGACTAATGCGCCAATAGAGACATCAGTTTTTCCGGTTGCATGAACCGGTGATTCAGCTGGACCCCCGGCTATTGGGCTAATGGAGACACCAGCTTCCCCACCGACATTTCCAGTTCCGACCCGAACATCGATGGCTGTTGAGCCGGTGGTGGCATCGACTTTTCCGGGCGCATGCATGGGTGATTCAACTGGACCTCCGGCTGCTGGACTAATGGAGATAACAGCTTCTAAAGCTGGATTTCCATTTCCGACATTAACGCTAATTGTCGTGCGACCAATTCCTATAGCTGCATTTCCTAAGCCAGAGAGACGACGATCTTCCAAAATTCTTGCTTCTGATCGTATGGTTAATCCTGATGGAATAGAACATTCATACTTTATATATTTTAAAAGCTACTAGGCATATTAGAAAGTATTGATGTTACTTACCAACAGCGAAGGCAATTAGAATCACAAGAAAAATGGATGGAGCTGAACCACTGATCTTAGCCATCTTTTGATTTCTGGTTGATGGAAAGTAATTAAGCTGGCCCTTTACTTCTCAGAAAAAAGGAAAAAGCTATCTTTGTATCTTAATTACTTTCTTGACACGAATTGTGAGAGGGAAAAAAACCACAAATTTATAGTGGTGATGAACTCAATATAATGTGTTATTGATGTATACTATCAATTAAAATATTCAATCTCGCTATTTTCATGCACCAAATAAAAAATCTATTGAAAAAATTCTTGAAAATGCCACAAAACCAAACAATTAAAAAACAATCATTTTAGGAATAGGCACGCATCAACAATCTCTATGCACTAACAACAAAAGAGTTTGACCGACATTTATTCCAACAAAACCATAATGCCATAGAAGCCAGCTAGTGTGCCGGCGCATATGTTACCTTCGGTGTAAGATTAATTAGAGATTAAATTATTAGTTTGTGGATACTATAAACTTTCCCTCTCATGAATTTCATCTGCAAAAACCTTACTTGCAGATAACTAAGAGTATTTTTCTTCTTCACTCTTTTGGGGCTGTGTAAGAAAAAAAGGATGAATTCACTCCATAAAATAGCTCAAGGACGGAAGAAACAACAAGCAACAATAATTAACAATATTCAACTTATCTTACATCTCACCTTCTACGTACTAAATTAATTCATCGACTCTATAAGCTGTCACCTTGCAATTGTGATAACAACACAACTCTAGCGGTATTTTGAAATACTTGTATACAAAATAAACATATAAATATGTAAGAAAAATTGGAAGTGGATGCCTTCGAAGGTTCAACTACTTCACCCTTTGAATTGTTAGAGGAAAATGCATCCGGCATTCTATTTTCCCTTTTTCTTTTTATTTGATTATCGTGTGATTAGTTAGCCTATCTGAATCCTTCTACATATATGTACATATTAAAGTACAGTTCTTGAAGAGTGCCCGGGGTTAGGTTTTTCAGTAACTTTGTTCATACATATACATCCTCAACTAATTCAACTTTGTTCCACAATGGAAAGATTTAGACGTTGCTGTCAGCTTCACCCAAATAATGTATCCAAACAATTTTTTTTCTTCTGCTTTTTTTTTTTAAAGCAATAAACAATTTTATTAATAATAATGAGAAAAAATTGGACCGCGAATATACTAAACCCTATATCAATTACAATTTTGATCCTAAAGTAAAGTTGAATCTTTGTTCAATCTAGCAGATCGACGAACTTGAACTTTCTTTTTAGCCTTGGCTTTCTTCGATCGATTATGGTATGTCGGTGCCGAAATTTCACTGTAGAAAGACTCTCATTCCAATTCCCGTTCCATGTCAAAATTTGCATCTTCTGAATCATTAAAAGCACGATGTTGTTCTTCATCGGAATGGATTTGTTCATTCGAAAAAATTGCATCAGAAGACTCAGTATTCGTCACCAATTCGGTATCATCTTTGGAGAAGAATTGTTGTGGGGCTAAAATAGGAAGTAAAACTTGTAAAAGGTGGATGTTTGACAATTATAAGGTGTACCTAGGGTTAAACTTACGCGACCAAAAAAAGAGAAACTCCCAATATTTACAACAATGCCATCCGAGTGTTTACACGCGCCTATTAATACCCCCATTATGTGCGACTTTTTTATTTTCAAATCACGATAACCGATGTTTGCTCCTAATTTCCGGCCATTAACTCTATCCAACTTTCTTTTCGATTCAATCCAGTACGTCTCAAACCAAAACTTCAGAAAAACAAATATCCATTCCCGAAGCGATACGGCGACAAAAAGCTCCCTGATGTGGTACTTTCGAAGAGGAAATCATATTGTGCAACAAATCCAGCGATTTGGGTTGCGATATACTCTACTCCGATTGAGATTTAAGGTAATATATGGTCTAATTCATCGATTTTGTGTGTTTATTGCATCTATCAAGTTCTAATAATGTCGTTTTTGTTTGCTGAAATATTCATATAGAAGCCTGTGATTGAGGAATCTGAACCGAGTATGAGCACATCGAAAGATGAAGAAGAAGTGAGGTAATACTACTATTCTCTTCAACAATCGATGTGTTTTCACGGTTGGGTTATATAGATCTAAGGTATTTTCACTCGATTTGAGATGTTTGTTCATTAATTTTTAGTTTTGTGCATCGATGTATTCACTCGGTTGATGATGTTTGTTCATCAATTTTAGAGTTTTGTTTTTTGATTGGATGTTGTTTTTCTAGTAAATTGGTAGATTTTTGTATTATTCATCAGGTCAGTATAATTATTCATTGTTGAAATTGTCAGATTCATTGTTTACCATAACTATGTAGTATTTTTTTTTTGGTAATTAGTAGATCTTTATATTATTCATCAGTTTGCTATTATTATTCATTGTTGAAATTGTCGGATTCATCGTTTACCATAACTATTTAGGATTGTTTTTTTGGTAAATCACTAGATCTTTGTATTATTCATCAGTTTGGTAAATTAGTAGATCTGGATATTATTCATCAGTCTAGTATGGTATTCATTGTTGATATTGTCAGATCCATCGTTGACCATAAATATGTATTATCCATTCGTTAATTTTCTTCATCAGTTTGGTATTTGGTATTCATCAGATTGTTTTGTTTTTTTTTTTTGGATATTCATCCGCAAATGGATGTTATTCATTTGGTCGGCAAGGAACAGAACATAAAACCAATTATGTACTATGCATTAGATATGTATAATTATTCATCAGTTTTGTATAAATATTCATTATTGAAATTGTCAGATTTATCGTTTATCATAACTATGTATTATGCATCCATTAATTTTCTTCATCAGATTGGTGTTTGGTATTTATTATATTGTGTTGTTGGGCTATTCATCCGTGAAGGGATGATATTCATTGGATCGACAATGATTATTAATTTTTCAATGTCATAATCTGAAAAAAAGTACATGATATCTTGTCATTGTCAAAATGTGTATTCATCATCTATGTACAGTTATTTATTAATTCACAAAAAGTTTTTCATTAATTTTGTGATACATCTGATACGTTGATATTAATTAACACAATTAAAAAATCGTCCAATAATGATTATTCATCTTCAATAGTATTGTTATTGATGATTAACAGAGTTTTGATTGAATGTGAAATCTCACTTATTATAATGTTATTTTTGTTTGATCAACAGCAAAGACATGCTCATCAAGATGAAGTCGATCGGCCGGGAATTAAATATTTTGCCAGAGTTGCTGAAATCAAACAATCAACATAAACGTGTATCGAACATCGACAAATCCTTCAAGACCTTATATATTAAAAACAATGACTAGTTTTTTTGTTTATTTTTTATCTAGTATAATACATAATTAGAAGTTTGTTAGTTTAGCTGCTAATATTAACCCATTGTAATATATATTTTTGTTATCAAAGTTATTCATCTAGTAACATATATTATTCATTCGTTAAAGTACAATTATTCATCTTGTAAAACTACAACTATTCTTGATTGAAATATTGTTATTCATTTAGGATGAGATCATTATTCATCAGGTTTGCATCGTTATTCATCTTTGTGAATATCGTTATTCATTACAAAATTTAAATTTATTCGTCCATAACGTTATCACTATAAGAATATCATTATTCATCACGTCCATAATGTTGATATTATAAGTAGCAAAAGCCTCTTCCTCAGAGTTGAAACATCGTCCAATAAGCACAATATATGTTATTCATCAATAACAACTTGTTATTCATTACTTATAATAAGATACTCATCGTAAAATCTTAATAACATGATACACCATCTACCAACAAACAACAATGAAATTCATGTTCATCAGTAATCATATATTACGCATCACCTTACGCATGTATATTCACCAATAAAACGAATACATTTTACATCATTCATCTTTCAATAATTTCATAACATTATTCATTGTCTAAACATCGGTTATTCATTACTAAGAAAATACACATTGATTCTCCATATTCATAAGTCTCATTGATTCACCATAGTCAATTTTACCAAAATAAAATCCTCGTTATAAAAAAATTATCTCATAAAATAAAATAATATAAAAGCTAACATGATAAGCTAAAAAAAATAATTTAAAATTAAACGTGTGTTAAAAAAAAGGGATAAAATCAAGGGGTTAAATGCCAAAAAAAGGGGATAAATTGCCAAAAAAAAATGGGATAAAATTGGGTGATTAAATACGGGATTGAATGATGCACGTGAAAACATAAAAATCAGGATAAATTGTCCACTTTTTTTTGGCTTTGGGTGATATACACGCAGTGCTAGGTACACCTTGCAAGGTGTACTTAGGAGCTTAATATTATTTGCCGGATGTTTGACTGAGACGAAAAGGTAAACTCTTGAGCACCAGTATTTAATTTTTTAGGAGAGCTGTTAATAGAGATATTTGAGGAAGATATTCCTTCCTTATTTGAAGGAGAAGACCGCGTCTCAACAGTAATTGATTTTATCTTATCATTTTTTGAAATTAAAGGTACCGGATTACCGGGTGTGGATTGCGCACAAGGCGCAGGATTCTAGGAAATCAGTTGCGCTGATGGAGGCTGCGCAGGCGATGGAGTTTCCACCATTGCCTCTCGTCAGACCTCCCTTTCCGGTGATATAGACTTTTTTCCATGACTGGCTTTTGTAGCTGTCGGAGATGATGATGGATCAACAACCACTTCAATAGAGGCAATTGAATCTAAAGGATTAGGCGTAGCGAGGGCTTGAGCAACAAAAACGTCTTGCGCAAAAAGAGGATTTGAAGGGGGGGGGGGACTTGATTGTCGTTTCTCAGTGGCAGCAGCAACATCAGCGGAGACTCACTGCTCTTCAGCAGTAGCAACTTTGATAGTGGTTTTGCACAATTGTGTCCGGCCGGCGGCTGCCACTGAGAGCGGTGACATCAGTGGCGCGACTTCTTCAGCAGCGACGGCCGGCGGCTGCATGATTTTTCCTGCTTCTGCTTCAATGATTTGTAGCTGTAAGGTTTTTTCGGTTTTGGTTGTAGAAGAGTCCAGCAGCGGCGCAATTTTATCTCCAACAGCAACTGTCGGCAACGGCGTTTCGTGAGAAAGAGCTAGGATGGTATCAGAT